CCAGCTCCACTTTAAAATAGATAAGTTTGGGGCTCCAGAGATGGCTCAACTGTTAAGAGCACTGGCTGTTCTTGCAGAAAACCTGGGTTCAAATCCCAGCACCCACAAGGTGGCTCACAACTGTCTGTAACTCCAGCTCCAGGATCCCAATGCCCTCTTTTGTCCTCCGTGGGCATTGCACAACACAGGTGCACTTACATATATATATGTAGGCATCATACTTATACACAAAATAAAAATAAGTAAAAACTAAGAAAAGAAAAGGCAAGTCCAATTCATTCCAGACAATAAACAGCCCTTCCTACACTTCTCCCAGGCTTCCCTAACAAACACTAGCTCATAATTGGGTGTGGGTGACTATGAGCCTCCCTTGGATAGGGCTTTATATCTAAGATGTCACTACGAAACCATCTGCTTTTCCTCCTCATCTACCGTCACTTTTATCCGCCATTCTCTGGAACAGTTTTTGTGAAATACTACTGCAAAAGATGCTGCAATGGTTCTACGTTTAAGCAAATCTAAGAAATAACAGGTTAGCTGGGCGTGGTGGCACACACCTTTAATCTCAGCAAAGGCAGGTGGATCTCTGTAAGACCCAGGCCAGGCTGGCTACAGGGAGACCCTGTCTCATAAAAAAAAAAAAAAAAAAATTGAGACAGGGTCTCCCTGTAGCCCCAGTTGTTCTGGAGCTTGCTATGTAGACCAGGCTGGCCTCAAACTTGCAGAGATGTGCCAAGTGCTGGGATTAAAGGCATGTAGCACCACACCTGGCCTTCAGATATTATATGTTACAAAAAATTTACACAATAAGCCAGGCGTGGTGGTGCACACCTTTAATCCCAGCACTTGGGAGGCAGAGGCAGGCAGATCTGAGTTCAAGGCCAGCCTGGTCTACAGTGAGTTCCAGGCCAGCTGGGACTACAGGGAGACTGTCTCAAAAAGGCCAAAAAAAGAAAAAGAAAAAGTTAAGAAAGTAAAGTCTTATGAAAAAAACCCATACGCCTTTAATCCCAGCACTCAGGAGACAGAGGCAGGTGGACCTCTGTGAGTTCAAGGCCAGCCTGGTAAACATAGTGAGTTCCAGGACAGCTGGGGCTACAGGGAGACCCTGTCTCAAAAAAGACAGAAAAATAAAAAGAAAAAAAAACATGTCTAGCTGGGTATGGTGGTGCATTCCTTTAATCCCAGCACTCCAGAGGCCTGAGCAGGCAGGTGTCTGTGAGTTTGAGGCCAGCCTAATCTACAAAGCAAGTTCCAGGCCAACCAGGGCTACCTAGTGAGACTGTCTCAAAAAACAAAAAAACCTACCACTCAAACATGCAGTGGTAGAGGTTCTTCTCGAAGCTTTGACAGTCAGAAAACCTTCTCTAGAGTTCATAGAAACAAATGTACAGAAGCTTAAAGCAATAGAAAATTTTTTCTGACAGGAGGCTTTCACTCTCTTCTCCTGGAGACTGAGTCTTACTGCATTACCCATCCTAATCTCAGATTCATGCCTCAAATGAGCCTCCTGCCTCAGCTTAAGTAGTTGGGCTAAGGTGCCTGACCTGCGGTAATGATTTGTTTTCAGAACAATATATCTTTGCAGAATTCATGAATATACTAAGTGTTCTGGCTCATGTCTGTAAATCCAGCCATCAAGAAGCTGAGGTTGAAACAAGTGCTTCACACTTGTTTCGAGAATTAAAACAAGGGACTAGACTCAGTTCAGTGGTTCAGAGCACTGGCTGCTGTTCCAGAGGAGCCGGGTTCGATTCCCAGCACCCACATGGTAACTAACAACTGTCTGTAAATCCAGTTCAGGGACTTCAACACTCTCTTCTGGCTACTACAAGCATTGCACGCATGGGTTCACTTACTTACACGCAGGCAAAACACTATAGTGTTAAAATATTAATACAGGTTTATTTATTTATTTATTTTATTTATTTTTAAAGATAACTAAAACAAAACTGAAGCTACTCGAGCCCTGCACTAAACACGAAGGTTCCCTAGCAGAGGGGGTTGGTGGTGCTGATGGTAGGGTATAAGGCTCCATTTGGCAAAGTTTCACCTTTAAAGTTAAACATATACTGCTTGGATAATGTCAATTTAATCCTTAATTTTACTTTTGAGATAAGGATGAGAGAAGCCAAGCTCTGGGTGTTGTCAGTCCATGAGGCTAGAGAACAGGCCAAACGAATCCTACATTCTAAGTCTTAACAATAGAGAAATACTTTTTCTCATTGCATTGAAGTACTGAATGATTGTGGCTTTTGATAAGGAGCGAGGTGACAATAACAAAAATGGGCAAAGAAAAAGGTCAGGGTATGGAATGAAACGCAAACAATGATGTGTGGTCAGGCTCTTAGCCCAGGGGCTTCGCAAAGGGTGTCCAGGGAAGGGGGAGCCACCTAGGATGACTTAAGGTGAAACTATGAGAGGATTCTGCTGTCATTTTCTGAAGAGAATCGATTAAACAATGCTCAGTTTTAGTGCAACTGTATCCTTCATTGAGGGTACAATGTGAATTATTTATATCTTTGAATATTATCTGTCAGCTCTGTGCTATCCCACAGTAGGAACTCAACAGTAAACAAGACTCGCACAGTTCCTCATTCTGGAAAGGGAGGCTCACAAGCCACTACAAAGTAAGCTTTAGAACAGGCCATTGTACTTTAAGATTGATTGGTAATGGAAGTCTCCTTAGATCAGAGGGAAAGGTGAAAAGATATCCTTGTTAGGCCTAATGACAGGCCTGTTAATCCCAGCACTTGGGAGGTGGAGGCAGGAAGAGCAAGACTTCAAAGGCTTCCTCTGCTACATAGGGTCACACAAACTGCCTCAGAAAACCAAATAAAAAAAAATAAACAGGAGTTAGCTGTTCTGAGAACTAGAAGATAGAACACAGAACACTCCAAATAAAGGGAACAGCAAATTCAAAGAGCTTGACAGTATATTGACAGGAGGACCCACGTGATTGGAAGCATGAAGAACAACTCAGACAGTTCAGCTTGGCAGGCATAAACTTGTCATGTTGGACAATTTGGGATATAGCAAGGACTTTATTTTGGAATAATGTTCAGATTTCTGACCCTGCAGTTTGTAAGAGAATATGTATTTTAAGTCACCCAATACACCTGTGTAGGAAAACAGTCTGATCAAGTCTACCTGCACTACCCTGAGAAACAACTGTCAGTGAATGGTTCCCACTATTTAATCCAGTAGATCCATCACCACCAGTTCAGTCTGGCCCTCAGCACTGTATCGGAGAACGCCCTGGAACGATGTTGGGGATAATACTTACCAACCTAGCTCACAAGGGAGATCAACAGAATACCAATTTATATGATTATTCCTGAAAATACAAATACTCAGTGTTAACAAGTCAGATGAACAGTTGAATGCTGTTTCGAAAATAAACCCAGAATCAAGGCAAGAGGATCATTGTGAGGGTTGGTGCTCCCAACAGCATGGCGCACTAGGACACTTCCACTGCTGACCAACGCCAATGCCCCTGTTCCTGGCTGCTGAGTCTGGTAGACTGACTTCAGGTACCTTTCTAGTTGCCACCAAAGCAATGTGATGTGCCACACAGGTTAAATGTCAGTTTACAAGCTCTTTAGAAATGTGGGCTGTAGCCTGATCTACACATTTTATATAAAGGCATGGCTCCAATTCACTGAAAAACAAGTAGATTGAGTTCATCCCTCCGAGGTTCCCAGATCCTGTGGTTGCAGATAAAGGTCCCTTCACCAGATAGTGTATGTTTTCAGACTAAATGCTGTTTCTTCTGAAGCCATCGTCTCCTTTCTTAGGATTTCACAAACTTCACTTTTGTAGAGTAACATTTCCTTACCCATGTCACATTTAGGGATGTGGGATTGGGAGCCTACAAATCAGTCTAATCCTTCAAGTTAAAAAATAAAAATCCGTTCTCTGATTCTAATCACATCTTATTTTGACTGTTTTATCTGAGTACTAACATTTTACAGGTGCGGTGAGAGACAGGGCCTCACATTTAAACAGTCTTAGTGTCTTACAGATACTGTCTGACAGAACACTAGCTGTGGCCAGATTTGACACAGAAACAATTTGTGGACTGGGTGGTTCCTTCCAACTTATGGTTTTACTCTGCAATTGTGATTCACATTGACATTGTGTGTCAACAGTGTGGCTTACTTTTCAAGTCCAAGTATCAGGACTATTCAAGGAGTGATTCCATGTAAAAGCAAAGCATCCCCTCTAGCTTACATCATAGCTCCTGGCTCACCCAAGAGGCTGCTTCCAGTGACAGAGCTCCACCTTGGCTACACTTCCTTTCTGGGGCTGACACAGCTGGGTAACATGAGCACTGAGCTCTCTGGAGGCAACAGCTTAGTATGTTAGACTGCTTGCTCTGCATGCACAGATTGGCGTTTGACCCCCAACACCCCATCAACCAGACGTGGTAGGTGGTACACACCTGTAGTCCCGGCACTCAGAAGTTCAAAGTCGTGTTCAGATACATAGTTGGAGACCAGAAGAAAAGGTAAAGCGGAAACACATAAACTAGGAAAGAAAGGACTTATTTGCTCAGACGCCCAAGTTTTATGTCTTTAGCTTTCCTAGGTCTAAAATTTGGGGCTAGAGAGATGGCTCAGAAGTTAAGAGCACTGGCTGCTCTTGCAGAGAACCCAGGTTTGGTTCCCAGCACCCATGTAGGGGCTAACTACCACCTGAATCTCCAGTTCCAGGGAATCCAACGCCCTTCTGGCCTCATAGCATTTACATGCAGGCGAATTGCCCACCATATACATAAAATTAAAACATTTAATAAACAAAATTCAATGATTCTTTAAGGAGCTCTAGAAAATAGGATCACAAGATATTAAAATTCTTTTGCTTACTTGTGAGGACTCATACGTTTATGGGAACGCCCAGTATCAGTTTACTAAGTAGATGTCATTACTTGTTCTAACAGCTAATTGTTTAACTGCAAGGAAAGGCCCCCATTAAAGAGAGAGAGACACACACAAAACTACTTTTGTGAAACAATTTTGTATTTCAAGGTCATCTGTTATTTACAAAAAGGCAGTCAGACAGGGAGAGGGAGGTAGTAAGAATGCTTGCCTGGTCACTCGGGAGAGGGGGGCAGCACTGGGCAGCCTCTTTTAGGCCAAGCCAGCACGGCTCAAGTTAGCAAGGCCAGCTTGTGTGGGCTGCGATAAGGGAGGCAGGGCCAGATAGCCAGCCAGCCCGGTCCAGAGGTCAAAGGCTCACATAGGTCTACTGGGGCCTCGACTCTGGGTTGCGTCTTCGGGGTCGCCTGGGCCTCTCTCTCCAGGGCACATAGGGGCCACGAACATGGTATCTCGGTAAGCCCCTGTGTACTATTGGGCCCCGGCGCTGGTAACAGGGTGGGTGGAAGCTAGGCATGGGTGGCTGGGGACTAAAACCAAAGTCCCCTTCAAAGGCATGTCCTGCGTGGGTGGGTGGGGAGCCATCTGAATGGATATAGAATTCCTCTGAGTGGAAAATAGGGTCTGAAGAAAAATAGGAATCCTGTGGGCAGGGTGGCAACGGGGGCCCTACTTGGTGCAGGGGGCCGGGACAGGGCAGCAGGGGCAGTGGTCTTATGGGCAAGCCTGGGGACGGGAGCAGGGGGCGTGGCCTAGGAAGAGGCAGAAGCGGAGACGAGGGGCACGGCTGCCAACCCCTGTGGGCCTGCGGCCGTCTCTCCTGCCACTCCTTTACCTGGCCCGGCCTTTCCCAGGCCGCAGAGCCGGGCTCGGGCTCCCGGTGAGGCAGCTCCACACCCCAGGCATCGGCCACATGGGCCAGCAGCAGGTGGGAGAGTCTGCGGTGCGCATGTTCGTTCCAGTGCACCCCATCCCCCTGCAGGTGCATCCTGGCATGACGGAAGTGGAAATGCAAGTCCAGCACATCGAAGCAGTGCTTTTTGGCCTCGACACAGCTGTAGAAGTTGGCTTCCATCACTTTTCTTTTCAGGGCAGCAATGGAGACCTGGTAGCGGTGCCTGCCCTTCCCTGGGAGGAAGGTCGCCTTGATACTGTCGCCCAAAGGCATGGCAGTGTTCCACACTAGCAGGCACGACTTGGGCAGCACCTGGTCCATGCGCCCGAACAGGCTCTCCAGGTTCTGGCGGTAGCTACTGCAAGAGTTCCGTCCGTACCTGGAGATGTCCCAGAGGCAGGAGTTCATGATGATCACATCTGGGGCGTGCTCTCCGGACTGTAGCTCCTCCAGGATATTTTCCAGGTAGTCAGAATAGACTCGGGTCAGGAAGTAGAAGCGCACCAGGTGGTGATCGGAGCAGAACTCACGCACCTCACGGTAGTTGGTGCGGTTGTGTAAGGTATCCAGCTCGCCTCCCTTCACCAGCTGGTCCTTTTCGAAGCTCAGCTCCCCCCTGGCTCTGAGCTGCTTGTTAGTGAGCAGGCAGTCTTTCTGCAACAGGAGCACCAGGTCCTTGTACACAGCCCTCTGCACAGAGTCCCCGAGGATGATCACAAACTTGTTGTGCAGCAGTTGCTGGACTTCGGAGGCCAACAGGAGAACCATGATGCCTACAGTGCACAGCTCCGCTCCGTCCTCTGCACGTGGTGGGTCAAGGGATTACTAGAACAGAAGGAAAAGAGCACTTGGAGGGACCCAACCCCTGGGCAGGGCGGGGAGGATACCAAGGAAGCAGGCGCCACCCTGGGGGCATGGACCTGGGGAAGCCACAAAGAGACTCCAGAATTCTGGGCCTGAGCGGGAGAGGGCAGCCCTCCTTAGTCTAGATGAAATTTAGGCCTGCAACTGGACTGCTCAGACTTCACCCAGCCAAGGAGCGCCAGCTCTAGCCACTTACATACAGGGGTCTTCATTAAAGACAAGCCTACACCGAGATGATATTGCATAAACACACCTTACTAAAAAAGGGTCCTCAACATCCATTAGTTCCCTCCATTCATTTACCAGTAACTTTCTAAAACTGGAGTATTTCTTGCTGCTCAAACCCACTTCCATTTGTTCAAAAATCTAACACTTGAGCTGAGGAGACAGTCCTGTGGCTAAGAGCGCTTACTCTTGAGCGAGAAGACCTGAGTTTGAATCCCCAGCACAGATATAAAACGCAGCGAAAGATCCCAGGAGTTCTCTGGCCAGCCAGCCTAACCAAAAGATCAGGCTTCAGGGTCCACAAGAGAAGTGTCTCAAACCTTGGGGGGGGGGGCACTAGAGAGCTGGCTCAGCGGTTAAGAGAACCAGTTGCTTTTGCAGAGGACCCAGGTTCGGTCCCTAGTACCCATATGGTACCTAGCTACCCTCCTTAACTCCAGTTCCAGGGGCATCCAACGACCTCTTCTGGTCTACACGGGCATTGCACACATGTAGTACATCTATAAAACATGAAAGCAAAACTCATACACATTAAAGAAATACATTTTAAATAAAAAAAAATGAAATCGGAGATAGAGAAGATACCCAATATTGACCTCCAACCTCCAAAACCTGAGCCTCATACATGTGCCCACATCCCACCCCAATACACATTATGCTTTGAAAAAAAAGGCGCTGGGGATCTAGCCCCGGCCTAGCATATACAAAACACACTAGGTTCAGTTCTCTGTATCTCAAAACAAACAAAACCTCTTAACTACTTGCATTGTTTCATTTTTCTTCTCTGCTTTTCTTTGCATGTAAAGATTAATTAAAATTGTCAGTCTGTCTCTTGGTTAACTTCATGTCTCGAGGGACTGACCTAAGAGCTACAGAAAGAGTTTTGCCTTTCCAAAACAAACGCATTGGCTGAAAAGCCGTCAAACTCATCCTTAACACAGCAGATTATCATTATTTCAATGTGCCACTTAGGATTCACATCCAGGGACAACTAAAAAGAAGAAACACACTTCCATATTAGCAGCAAACCTTTATCATGGAGGAACATAGACTGCGCTGCCTACACTTACACTGAAGCCATTGGAATGCACTGTGGCTTGAAAGGTGTAAGGTTATACACATTGCAAACCTTTTAACAGGCATGGGTGGACAGCTGCCATTAATTATAAATTATTTTTTGTTTTTTTGAGAGACGGTCTCCCTGTAGCCCCAGCTGGCCTGGAACTTGCTATGCAGACCAGGCTGGCCTCTATCTCATAGAGATACACCTGCCTCCATCTCCAGAGTGCTGGAATTAAAGGCATGGGCTGCCATGCTACCACACCCAGCACAAATTATTTTGGGAGGCAAGGTCTCCCTATATATCCTAGGTTGGCTTCAAACTCATGATCTTCTTGTGTTTGCTTCTGAATGCCAGCATTACATATCCCACCACACGAATTAAAAATTTAAAGCTATACTACTTGTGGTTTTAAATGGTCACAAGTATAAATTATAAAAATAGAATACTGAGTTTCTACAGAACAGGTGAAAATACTGACTTCCCCATGTTCACTCAAACAGTATGTTATCAGAAAAAAAAGTTTAACAATAACAGTTCATTCAGGTACAACAAAATAATGCAAAAAAAGTAAATCACATAGGGTTGGGGTTTTTGGCTCAGTCCAGAGTGCTTACCTAGCACACACAGAGCCCAGGGCTGGATCCCCATCACCACATGAGCTGGAAGTGATGGCACAAGCCAGTAATCGCAGCAGTAGAGGTAGGAAGATCAGAAGTTCAAGGTCATCCGTGGTTACTTAAGCGAGTTCGAGGCCAGCCTGGTATAAATGAAGCCCTGTCTCAAAAAAAGAAAAGAAAAAAAAAAAACAAAGATTTAACATGATTTTTCCTCTGAACTCAGGAACACTGACTAAGCATTGGTGGTACAGGACTATAATTCTAGCTCTTGGGATGCTGAGGTAGGAAGGAGGACCACCAGTTCTAGGCCAGCTTGGTCTACATAACAAGACCCTCTCTCAAGATGGCTAGATAGACAGCCAGATTCATTGATAACTGTGGTGATGTAGGCTGAAACAGAAGTGCAAGCAGGATGATCAGGGGTTCAAGACCAGCCTGGGCTACAAGCAAGAAAGTAAGCATGGCTTTGGAGCCACTCTAGGTATGAAGGCCAATTCTGAGTGCTCTTAACTTCTGAGCTATCTCCAGCCCCCTCAAGAGTATCATTCTTGTTATTGCCATTTTATGGAAAGGTTATCAAAGTGATGGAGCCAAGATGTACTCTTTTTATTCACAGAGAGGCAGCCGCCCACTCTGCAGGATGGATGGCTGTGTGTTCTTGGGAGCAGGGGTAGTAAGTGTGAATATTTAGTACCTCATTCACTCTCAAGAGACACAAACTAATATAAAAACTCAGGTTTTGGGGTAACTCAGTAAATAAAATTCTCCAGATTGTGGCTTCACTGTGTAGCAAGTGTGGCTCCCAATATCCTAACCAGGAAACCCTAGGCAGCCCCAGGCTATTCTTAGGGCTTAGGACCAAGTCAAGAAAAATGTCTAAGAATTCCCCATTGTCTTCCTCCTCCTCTAGGGAAGGAACAGTAGGATGAAGGGGGTGGAGGAGAGCATTCCAATATGAAGTTGAAACTGAAACTGATTAAATTCTAGAGAAGGAAGGTACCAACAACAGGAAGTAAGGGAGTCAGACACCTCTGAGGGGCTCCAGGGGCTATGGGCCAGGACCCCAGGCCTCTACAAGAGCAAGAGGAAATCTAAATGACCCTGAGAGGACTCGAAAACAGCTTAGAGAGAGCTAAGCCTGACATTTAACAAAGGACAGTAGCCTCCTCATATTTATAAAAACTGAACCAAGGGGCTGGAGAGATGGCTTAGTGCTTATGGGAACGTGCTGCTCTTGCACAGGACTCAGGTTGGGTTTTCGGCAAATGTGGTGGTTCACAACTGTCTGTAACCCTAGTTCCAGAAGATCTAAAGACCTCTTCCGGCCTTTCCAGGCACAAGGCGCACACACACATAGTCAGGCAAAACACTCTAACACATGAATACAAAACAAATATGTATAAAAACTCAAAAGAATTTGAAAACAGTTCAGTGTTTTTTTTATAGTCCAGACTTCTTAGAGAACTTTGCTTCCAATTTGCCAAACTCCCTTATTAGTGTTGAAAGCTATTTTACAGATATATTTATTTAATTAGGAAATATCACTGGGGGTCAGCAGATGTGCTATGAGACCCAAGTTGTGGGTAAAAGAGCTGTCTTGAGTGAGGTGGTTAACAAATGCCAACATCCCAGTGCTCTGGGAGACTGAGGGAAGACTGCTTAAAAAGAAAAAAACAAGGCCGGGCATGGTGGTGCACGCCTTTAATCCCAGCACTTGGGAGGCAGAGACAGGCGGATCTCTGTGGGTTCAAGGCCAGCCTGGTCTACATAGTGAGTTCCAGGACAGCTGGGGCTACAGGGAGACCCTGCCTCAAAAAGACAAAAAAAAAAAAAAAAAAAAAAAAAGGACAGAAAATGAAAAGTCTGCTAAGGACATAAAGGCAGGAGGAGTAGCTGCCCTTAGGAATGGATGTATACACAGGAAGCATCCAGAGCTGTTGAGGCAGAGGGAGGTACATGGATAACACTGCAGCCTGTGGCTCCCACCTTAAATTGAAACAGGACTTTTAAAAGTTTTACTATGACTCCCCACATCCTGATTACTATTTCCACAGTAGGATGTGGAGCTCAGACTAAAGTTGTGACAGAAATACGCACATTTTTTATGGCTACTACTACAAAAAAAAAAAAAAAAAAAAAAAAAAAAAAAAGCATTTTGCTTGTATGTTGCCATTTGGGGATAATTAAATTTTCAGATGCATCATAAGGCATGAATTATAAATTATTGACTATTACTTTATAGCTATCACAAACCAAACAGAGCATTTACTTTTCATTAAATGTTTCCTTGTAATTGGATTAGTTCGGAACTCACCTGACTTTGCTTATTTTGGCATTTGCTTAAGTTTCTACTTTGAATTTAAACTTGTCAAAAATTAAATTGCCTGCAGTGGGCCTATAACAGTCACATGAATCCAGGAGTAGGTTACACAGCCTGCTAAACTACAGATGGATTCTGGAAAGAGGAAGTCATTGTCTTAAGCTGAATACTCCCAACTATTCATTGGCTCCAATAATCAGAATGTACTTTATGTATATAAAACTGTCAAAGAACAAATTCAAGAAATTTAAAAAATTAAATTGTGCCAGGTGTGGTGCAGGTCTTTAATCCAGCACTGGGGAGGCAGAGGCAGGCAGATCCCTGTGAGACCAAGGCCAGCCTGTTCTACATAGTTTCAGGCCAGCTAGGACTGTAGTGAGACCCTGTCTCAAAACAACAAAAACAGAAATAAAACAAAAATTAAATTTTACACCATATGGTGTTCAAAGAAAAATGAAGGGACAGAAACTCAGTAAAAGTTCTCCTTGGGAAAGCTGAATGGCCTCTGGACTGCGAATTCACCAGACTTGATTTTGGGCAGGCTAGCTAACACGGACTCCATCCAACACCAGGAGACAGAGACTTGTTGGTCTTCCAGAGGACACGAGTGCCCTTTGTAGCACCCACAGGGTGGCTAACACCCAACCTCAGTTCCAGTTTCTGGCCTCTGTGGGCACCAGACATGCACATTAATTGAGTAAAAGTAGAGACTACTGTGTAAAGTCTTGAAATCTGTCATGAAAACACATTTGGCTCCCTTCTCCCATCAACTTTCCTGGTTCCTTTATCCAACTCCTCCACTATGAAAACTACAGTCCTTATTTCTATTCCTAAAGCCTCAGTCAACAATAATGCCTAGATTTCAAACTGGGGCTCCTGTGATCACAAAACCCTCCTGCTTAGGCAGGAATTGCTATGGACACCCTCCACCTATGGCTGTCTCATCTCCCACACTTGTGATTATTTTTATGGATTAGTTTGGAATTCACCTGACTCCATATATATATAGATATATATTGATATAGATATATATCTCCATATACATACGACAGTCTCCCTGTAGCCCCAGCTGGTCTGAACTCACTATGTAAACCAGGAAGGCTGGCCTTGATCTCAGAGCTCTACCAGCCTCAGCCTCCAGAATGCTGGGATTAAAAGTGTACCACCATGCCCAGCTCACCTGTGATTACTACTGTTAGAATTTCGAACACTTTGAGTCTGAAAAAATTGTAAGTTTAAAAAAGCATGTTTTCCCATATTAACAGTCTAATACAAACTTTCCTATGGGCTCTAGAAAGAAATGCAAAGAATACACTTAAAAATGAAATGGAACTTCAGAATACTTGATATGCAGATAATTTTTAGAAAAAAAAAAAAAAGCCGTGGAGGACCATTTATTCAAATGGCTTCAGAATTTTTTAAGATACTCTAAACGATTCATAAAAACAGAAATTTGATTTCACTTACATGCAGCTACCGCAAACTTTTACACTACCAGCTCGAGCCGTTATTTCAACTGCCCCTCAGATCTAACAACGACTGGTGAACACCATGACCCGGCTTTCAACCTCCAAGAGACAACAGGGCCAGGCTGGTCTCTGGCTGCATGCCCATCGCTCTGAGCCTCAGTTTCCCCTTTGGTAAAACAAGTACTATTCTGAACCTCACTAGTACTGGCGAGGATGAGAGGGAGACCCAGGGTCCCAAAGGCCTAGTACTGCGCCCCTAAACCTCTGGTCCTAAAAGCTGGCCCCATCTCCTGGAGAAAACAGCAGCCTCCGCGAGCCCTCGTCCCACCCCGGCCCCCTTCCCACACCTACCACTGGGAGTGGAAGGCCAGGAGCTCAGAACCGCTGGGAGCCTCCAGGTCCACAGACTAACCCCCTCCCTGGGGTGATTAACCAAGTGGTCCGCTGGGTACTCACTAGCTGCAGGGTGGGCCCAGTTTCGGCTTTGGAAGAGAAAGGTGATTTCTAGGCTCCACCTCTGGGCCCGTCCCATCGCCTGGGCCTCAAGGCCACACTTTCGAGCCGTTTACACAGGCTGTGTCCGGTTCTCTCCTCCCACTCGCTGGGCCTTTGGCTCGCATTTGGCCTCCAACGGCATCAGACGGTCGGCAAATCACCGCGGGTCCCCCTGGCCTTCTCTCAAAGGCGGCGTCGGGGCCTCCCCTGCCCGGCTCCGGCCCCCTGGGGTGCCCTTGGCACCCCATCCCCACCCGTTTCTCTCTCCCGGGGGTCCCCAGATTGGCCCTCCTCAAGGCCAAGTAATCAGTTCCTCCTCCAGCATTCTTCCCGGGCGGCTCCATCCATTCTTCGGGCTTCGGCAGAGAGGGGACCACGTGTCCCCGTTTGGCCCCGACCAGCTCAGGCTTTCTCCCCAGTAGAATACTTACTGGCACATCTCCAGACCCAGCAGGAAGACGGCCACCCAACGACTTATCAATACCATTTGTATGCAGATGACCCAATTGAGGCAATGAAGTCTGGAGGCTGGGGGGAGGCCAGGCTAGGCCCTGGGGTAGGATGCAGCCCGAGGTCCTGGGCGGGGCTGCTCTCAGCCTGCGGGAATCCTGACCCACAGGGGAGCTGAATTTGGTGCTAAAGATTTCTTTTTCTCTTCTTTTCTTTTTGTTTTTTATAGACAAGGTTTCCCTGTAGCCCCAGCTGGCCTGGAGCTCAGATCTGCCTGCCTCTGCCTCCCCAGTGTGGGGCTTAAAGGCTCTAGCCACCACGCCCAGTTTTCTAGGGATTTCTTAACAAGTGATGACTAAGGATTTGAGCCACTAGCTGGATGCTGCCACATTTTTAAATTAGCTCAGACTGACACTGGAGCTT